CTCATAGATTGGTTTTAAAACTATAAAGAGCCCTTGAAGGTCCCGGCTTCCTATGCTCACCAAGTTGCTGAGACACAAATCGCTTCAGCAAGCCCCATCGTCATCGGGATGATTACAGTGCTTTCGTTTGGCAGGAGCGCATGGCTCCTATAATGGCTATACAGAAAGATCGGTGCCTGACTTTTGGCCTCCTGGACAGTGCTTGTTAACAACTATGAAATAGGACTTTCAGTTGACCCCTGAATGCTTCGCCTGTTGCGATAGTTCAATCTCCGAAATTTCTCAGTCAGTTGAAAGGCTGCTTGCAATCTAGAGGTAATGTTGTCTTCATTGTAGCCCACCACGAAGGTAAGCAGCTTATACGTAAAATCCTTTGCTTCTCCAGGATCTTATGCCTAACGCTTCTTTGCTCAAGTAGCACTCTGGTGTATAACTTGGTGTACATTAACGAATTTCGGTATACATCTGATTAATTGTACCAAAATTCACAAATTTGGGGGGATAATTGGGGAAATTGGGGAAAAAAACTTATTTATTTCGAGATAATTCATTTATATGTTAAAAACATTGTTCCTATACAAAAGTTTTCAATAGTAAAAATTCCAAATTGGGGACAATGCACCAAGCGGATAATAAATTACCAAATGAACCACCTATTGCAACTGTGAAAGTTATCAGCTGTTTCGAAGATTGCAAGTTTTTGCAAATTTTGCAAACGGCTCAGAATTTTTGCTGCTGGATGATTTTGTGTAGAGAATACAAAAATACTCCTACCAAACTTACCTATCCGAAAGTCAGAATGGCGTAAGTTGCACGTTTTTACTGGTTTTGCGTTCAATAATTTTTTCTTATATTTTAGTCTTCCCCTCTATTTTACTCGCTACGATTATTTTATTCTCTGACTGCTAGTTCTTACTGGAAAATTTTATGAATAGACCTATTATGACAGCAAATTTTTTTTTGATTTAAGTAAGAGTTTCGTTTTTAATAAACACCACGTATTTACTTAAACTTACTTCAAAACTCCAAGTAAATAGAGTGTGGTATTTCGACATAATTGTGCTGCAGTACCGTATCTTGACAAAAATGTATCAAAAATGTCAATGCAGTACCAATGTACTTTTTGGCTTCCAAAATGTACCAAAAAAGTACAATTGTACCATAATTTCATCACTGTTCGTTGATATCTCACTGTGTGACCTTTGGCAATCGACTAAAATAATACTAAATAGCTATTGATTGATACTTCCCATTTATGTTAAGAAGGAAGTTAAAAAAATTGTTTTAAGAGATTGAGTCATAAGTAAAAAAGTAATTTCTCCGTTTTTTAAAGTTAGCCTCCGAAATCGAGATATGGGCTTTCGAAGTTCGAAATAGGACCTTTGGTAAAAAATTATTTTTAATTATTTTATGTAAATAACTAAAAAGTAAAAACATAGGCGTAGTCCGTCTTGTGCTCTTATTTAAACGGTATATAACTTTTCTTGTGTAATGACAGCGGCTGCATGACTAGAGAGCTAAATAAGTTCTCCAGCTTCTTGCATAACAAGACATGGTCAACAGAATCAAAGGCTTTTGAATGGTCAAGAAGCGCTAGGAAAGCAATTTGTTTTTATCAATTCGTGCTCGAATGCCTCCTATCACGTCGAAAAGTGCCGTTGTGCAACTTCTTTTTGGCCTGAAACCAGACTGATGGTCTTCCAGAAGTTTGTTATCTTGCACATACGAAATTATTTGCCTATATAAAATACGCTCAACGACTTCAGGTAAGAAAGGCAGCATGGCATAGGCCTGTACTCATTATTTTGATTATGAACTGGGATCACCTTGGCAGCTTTCTAGCACTTAGGGAAAATACAAGTTGTCAGAATTGAGTTGAGGATTTTGGGTAGATCATCACAATCATCGACACAGACACACTCAAAAGGACTGGTACCAACATCACAATCATCGACACAGACAAACTCAAAAGGACTGCTACCAACATCTACACGAACACAGTAATTGTCAAGATATATATTACCTGCCGATTTACCAATCCCAATCTCTTTAATCTTATTTCGTTATTAAAATTATATTTGTATCATACAATTATAACTCACTGGTAAAATGAGAATATATTTAAATATTCAAAATTATTGAGATTTTAGAAATTAACATGGCGTCTCAAATATGGCATCTAAACTAACCGTAAATTAGATTTTCCTTTACAAATTTTGTGCCACCAGAGAACCCAACACCAGTGTTGCCAAGTTTTGAAATTTGAAAAAACACTAAAACCCAAGAAAAATCGCGTTTTTTCGAAAAAAGCGCCAAATTTTTATCGGAGTATTTAATGGACTTTGTATGCATAAACATTTTTTTATAGGGATGCTGATTTAAATTAATAAATATCAATGTCTCTTGCTCGACGGTCGAACTCTTTCTGTTTTCAAATATTTTCGTCTAAGCGACGATAACGTTCTTGTTCTTATTTTCTAATTTGCTGCTATGTCCAGCGTCTTCGCTTCGCTTAGATTCAAGAAAAATTTATGAATTTTTTCCTAATTGTTTATATGTTAAATTTTTCTTCGGTTTGCATAATTTTTACTACAATTTCAGTCAAACGAAAGCAAAAACAAAAAATGAAGTTTCATGAACTATTTGGTAGTTTAAATCGACACTGCAGTCTCTTATGATCTCGTGAACAGAAGGAACATAAAGAACTTTTCTTTCCGACTGCTTGACACCTGAAACAACGATATTTGATTTCCCTTTTTAATGTGCCTTATTCGAGCGCATAATGGGAAAAATATTTTTGTGTAAAAAACTTGTTGGCAAACATGTGCTCACTTACGATTTTCATTGTGCCATGATTTTGTTTCCATATTGTAAAGTTGCTAAAATATTTACGATTGCTATTAATTTAGCTTCGTTTTTTTAAGATTTACAGATTTGGTGTCTTCAAACTAAAAATAAAGCACCAAAAAACGCACCAAGCACCAAACTCAAAAATTTTCGCGTTTTTAATAAAGAAAAGCACTAAACTACATCAAGTGTCAATAAAATATATTAAATTGGCCACTGACTTATAGAAAATTTTTACCACTTTGTGACCAAAATTGCATGAAAATGCTGAACTTTAGGGCCTTTCGAGGCACGTTTTTCCGTTGTCCGATTTCAACAATTTTTTCGCAAGGCACGTTTCTATGACCAAAGGAAAATTTTTAGGGGGAGTCTTGCTTTGTAGCTTAACAAAAGAATTTCTCCATACAACTAAGGTGCAGGCTAATGTCGAGGCGTGGGCAGAGAACGAGCACACAATGGGCTAGCTTTTCTCAATATTCATCGCAATCTGGATGCTAATGTTGACTCAGTATTAAAAGAGTTTTTGTCTATACTTCAGTGTTCTTGGTCGTTACGAATGACTTTACCTAAAATCCCCAAAGAGAAGTCTTGCGGCCGGCCCTTTGCGGTAGCATACATAAGAAAAAATATTCCGGGGAATTGATAACCTCCACTTTTTTGAAGTCGGTTAAACATTTTTGAGTTGTTTGTTAATTTGATGTAAATAAAGTGCAATTTATGAAACTTTATTTATTATACTTGCTGCATATAAAACTTGCATAAGTGTATTTTAAAGAGCATTGTTGGCAGGCGGGTGAAAAATATAAGACCAGCACTTATTTTGAGCGTCCTTTATTTAATTGTTATGCACGCTAAAATCTGCGAATATAAAATTTTTCGCAATGTGTGCAAAGTTTTTTTTTCTATTTTTTTCGAATTTTTTTTAAAGATATATGTAGTTTATACCACATCAAAACATAAAATAAAATCTTTGTTAAAAACTCAGGAAAATTCAATACTTTTGCATACTAATTTGAAACTTTCTATTGAGCTTGTTTAGGAAAATTCTAAACATTCGACATTTTCTTTTGTATGGAAGAAAATAATAACACCGTGCGTAAAATATTGCCAAAAATCAACGCGATCTTTTAGCAACTTCAAACCTGCACTTTATTATACTAATATTGAATGGGTTATAAAAAATTTAAATAGAAATTTAAATGCAAATTTATTTTGAATTTTCCTGACTTTATGTTTTCTTTTTGGTGTCGTGTAAACCATGATAAAAATAGAGTAAGGTAGAACCGCTGAGAGGCACTTTTAAAATTCTTGACGTTTCCAAGCAATTTAATTTTTAAATTTACTCACACACAAGGTGTATTAAACAAGGTGTGATTGACAACTCAAGTAGGCTCTCTTTTAAGGTACTATTATGCCAAAAAATATAAACAATCGAATCAAAATTCACAAAAAATTTTTTCAATTTGACTTTATAGGATGCTTCTTCTGAGAGCAATGTCAAATTCAATCAAACTTTGTTAAATACATTTTGCTCACACACACATTTTTATTTTCAATCTCAGCAACAACAATTTTTAGCAATTTAAATTTTTTATTTTCAATTTTATATGATTTTAAAATGCTGGCAAACTTCAAAAAAAAATTATGGCCGACAAATTGAAAGAACGGCTCTACCTTGCTATGTCTTTATCATGGTGTAAACTATATATAAAAAAAAATATCGGAGCCAAATTAGATTGATAAACTTTGCACATATTGCGAAAAATTCTCTGTGCAAATACTTTTCCTCGTCACTACACATACATACATTTGTAAGTTTCCATAACCCTACAACAATTGTTTTTGGATTTTGTTATGGAAGATCATTATGTGAAAAGCCTTTAAAAAAGAGATCGCGTTCATTTATTAAATATTTATGTATAAACGTTTTTCCATTATTTTAGAACAATGGAGTGCGTCATATTGTTCTGATTCAAGTAACAATCCAAGCTGTTATATAACTAATGCATGTCCGGGAACTAATTTATCTTCGAATTCATTCTACCGATCACCACAATATTGTTCTGGTTCATCGCCAAAATTTGATGGTAAGAAATCAATGTATTACATTATATTTTATTTTACAACATTACTAATGACGGTACAACTGTGAATAAAGGTAAGCTAAATGTAGTGTTGCCAGATTTTTTTTCCATACATACCGTTCATACAAAAATATGTATGTATGTACGTAGACATATAATTGACAAAACGATAAAAACAAACTGAGAGATACAGTTGCCGTCAAAATAATAGCAGCAAAATTCAAAATGATGATGTTAGCAACTTATCTTTATTTATTTATTGTTAATTATTTTCATTTAAAATATGAGTCGATCTATGTCAGATACCACATAAATAAAACTTTCAAAGCTTTGCACAAAGTTCACAAAAATTTATTAAACTTAAAAGAATTTTCATCAAAATTTCGTTTTTTTAATTAGATTTCCTAGAAAGATCTCGATTATGTGGTTTTAAAAGTTGTAAGTTTCAAGTCACTAAATATTACCACTAATTTTTTGGAATTTTTATTGTAGAGGTTGTTGCGCATTTTCTTCCATATAAAAATCAGTTTTGTTCATGCGTTATATGGAAGAAAATTTGCAACACCCTCTACAAAAAAAGTTCTAAAAAATCAACGGTAATTCTTGCCTATATTTTTCTTATAGTTTTTTCTAACAGGCAATGGTAAACCACAGAGTGTATTTCTATCTTAAAAACGCTTCTCATAAAATCCATTTGCCTTTCGGAGGCGGCGCCAAATTGTGGGTCTCTCCATTTGTTTGATAAGACGCACACCCCAAAGTGGAGAAGCAGCTCGGCCAAACACTTAGCAAAAGTGTAAGCGCCAAAGTATTTATTTTTATACATATGCTAGCTTCGAAGTTGCTACTTTGAGTTTTTCAATAGAGCTTAAAATTCTTTAAGTATATCGGAAGTGCTTTCCGAATTTTCCAACGATTTCTTTACGAATCTTCAAATGAAATCATATGAAAGTGTTGATACGAGCTGATAAAGAAATGTATGTACATTTTAAAGGAAACTCTGTAAAAATCTGACAAAATTCTTTTATTTTTTCTTTCAACTATAGAATCTGTACTCGCAGAATACAGTGTTAATGCCAAAGTGGCATTGAATCGCTGGCTTAGAGTGAAAAGTTGATAAGTCCACTGTTTACTAACATTTTGATACAGTAAGCGGGGAAAATTAAAGGCACATCGTAACTATATTCAATTTCCGCACATTTCTGCATAATGAAGCGCAAATTTGCTAAGGCCAAAGAAATCCCAGAAAATCTGATAAATTGAATAGAATACAAATATTAACTACGAAATCTATCGACAGAGTGTCCAGATTTGGCGATTTCGCGCCAATTTGGCGATTTTTTTTTGATATTTGCGCGTAAAAATTTAGGAAATCGCCATTTGCGATTTTTGGCGATTTTTTCCCTTCAAATAAATTTTTTCCAATTATAAAAATATCTATACAAAACTTAGTTTTCCACGATAATTTTACAGAAGAGGCTAATGAACTGCGTGATAAACTTGACTTAAGAAGCATATTAAAAGACTGGCAAAAATGTTTAATCACCCTAATCGTAGAACTTTTGAAACGATTACCTAGTCAATTAAATACTTTTAAAAAAGCTTTGATTTTGTCACCAAAAAAGTGTGTGAATCACAAGAGGGCGAGTTTCAGAGGCCCGCCAATTCACTATTTGACTTTGATGGAAAGAAAAGCAGCGGAAACTGAATATTGCAACAGGCAATAAACTGTTTGGAAATATAAGCAAATTGATATTATTATCCTTGCCGCACTCACATGCTTTGTTGAGCGCATTTTTTCCGTAATGAATTCAACAAAAACTAATATTCGAAATATAAATATAATTCAATAGTTGGAATCAAGTGTTATATGAAGGCTAATAGTTTCTGCTGCAAAACGTGTTCAATATCAAACAGTATGTTATCAAGGTTGTATACCTCAATATATGACAACAACAGAAATGTAAATAATTCAGACACTACAGGTGATTTTCAAAAAATTGTGGAAATAGCAGATCTCGCCTCATTATAGGTTTTTATTTAATTTTTAGCGCCGAGCTCTTAAAACGGATTGTGCGATTAATCAATTAATATGAGTTATAATAAATTTAATAATTGCGCAGTCCTATTGCAAAATGCGTTGAAACAAATATTTTTAAAAAGAATGCGGAGTTTTTTTTTGTTTGTACATCACTATTATATAAGTGATTTGTGTTATTTATTATTACCCTCTGAAGGTATTATATTCGTTTTTGGTTTTAAAAACTATATTATGACAAGATCTCATTTTTTAAATAAAGGATTTGTTAAATCGATTTCATGAATTAGGAAACAATCTTTTAAAACAATCTGGACACCCTGTCTATCGATGCGTATTAAATTTAATGCGTAAAATGTTGTCATCAAATTTTTGGAAGTTTTTCTTTCCTTCTATTTTATTCAATATTCCCTTTGTTGTATTCACTTATTTTGTGTTTTTTTTTATGGGTAATTCCTATACACGACCCGCGTGGCGTGCGACGGACAAAATCCTTCGGCATTATTTTCATTGCTTTATCAATTTCCTTTCCAAATTTCGAAAAAAGAATCAAAGTGTACATTTTATCTTAGAAAATTCGGTAAAAAATCGGAAAGGAAAATAATGATTCCTTTACGAATTCTATAAGTTTTCTCTAGTATTCAGATTTAAATATCGTAGTTATTTTTCTCAGTTCTTCTTTTTCTATTCTTTCAAAAATTTGCCTTCCATTCAAACACAATTTTTTTGATGTTTTTACCTTTCGACATTTCTTCCTAGATACGGAAAAAGACTTTCATGAGATTTTACTCACACCCACTTCAACAAAAACAGTCGGTGTGCCTGCCGTGCGTATAATTAAGAAAAGAAATACGGCCAACAAAAAAGAACGAAGAAGAACACAAAGTATCAACAATGCTTTTACATGTTTACGAGAAAAAATTCCTAATGTACCATCAGATACAAAATTATCCAAGGTAAATAAACCACTTACATACATACATATGTATGTATGTGCATTAAGTACTATATAAATATGTATGTACTTAGAAAATATCTTACTTATGTAAATGTAAGCAAAGTAGGAAATTATATCTTTGTATATACTACACATATGTATGTATGTGAAAAATTGATTGTGCATACTTTTTACAGAAAATTGTTCTAAAGATTGTAATCTTGTTTCCGAACGATTCGAAAAATTTAAATTTTCAAATTAAAAAATTCCAAACTTTCGATTCGTAGCCAACAAAAATGCAACTCTAAATCTGTTTCGCCATCTTTATTATTTAATTTCAGATAAAAACGTTGAAATTGGCTATATTGTATATTAAATATCTCGTTGAAGTATTGGATGGAGATCAAGATCCAAAGGCCGGATTTAGCGCAGATTTAAGGCCACTACACAGAAAAAGTTCCAGTGATAGAAGATCATATTTAAAGCACGATTTGAAGGTTAGTTGGAATAGTTGAAATATGCAATATGAACATACATATACAGTAGAGTGGTCCAAAAAAATAAAGTCGGAGTTTTAATGCCGGCACACCCTAGGATTGATCTATATCGAAAAAAATATTCCCCAATTTTTTTATTTTGAAATCAAAAAAATATTTAGGGAGTGCTCAAAGCGCCATTTCTACGAAAAGTTGTTTTTTCTCCATATAAAATACATGGAAAACTTTGTGCGCTCACACTTTGATATATTCAGTGTTCGAGGTTTTACTGTATATATTTTGTGTGGATATTTATAAATTGTATGGATGGTTGTCATCATTACCAAATCATAATAATAACAATTTCTTTTGCAAATTTTCAAAACGTAATTTTGAGTCACATAGTCAACTATCAGAGGTGATTAATCGACTTTAAGAATCGAAAACCATCCCTAAAAGAAAGAAATTTCAATAATATATGTATGTATATATATACATATCTAGATACGCACGGAGTTGCGTCCTAAGCCACTTGACCGATCGTAACCAAATTTGAAACACCTACTTTACAGGGCATTTCTGGCTAAGTATTAATAGTAAATCAAGGCCATATCATATAGGGTATATATGCTATAAACGGTACTATGTATTCGCATTAGTTGCGTTCCAGATGCTTCACGATTTGCAGGTTTTTACAGGAAGTCGTTCCAGGTGACCACCTCCCATTAAGTTTATTAATGGAGAAAACAGCTGTTCCTGCAAATCGTGAATTTCGTGAATATCGTGAAGCACCTGGAACGCAACTATTACTGAAGTATGAATTCTAATAAACCAGAACAGTTAGTTCCCTATTTTGTCTCATGCAGAGCAGTCGTGTTTTATTTTTTAGTCTTGTTTTCTTAGCTTTCGTGTGTGCTCGCAACAGGTTATTGGCCTTTGCGTTAAAAGAAAGAATGACAAAGTAAAAACTGTTATTGTTAATTCGACCGCGTTATAAAAATTCACATATTCAAAGATGAGCAATTGTGATCTCGATAAAATATTTTGTTTGAAAGACGAAAAAGATTGAGTTTTGTGGAAATTTAATTTCAAATCACAATTGTCTTGAAATTTCATGAAGGTATGAGTACGTCACGGCCGAGCAAAAGCCACCGGTAGCATCTGATTCCGAACTGCAGTCAAAACTTGCATTTTTCAACAAATGCGACATAAAGGCCCAGCGAGGGATATCCTCGACAACTGACAAAGAAGCTTTATTGCATATCGTGAATTGCAAAACAGCAGCAGAAATGTGGGCAAAATTGAAAAGTGTTTACGAACAAAAATCGGAGACAAGCATTCACTTTTTGTACCAAAAGTTTTATGACATGCATAAAGAACCTAATGAAAATATGGTCACATACATTTCACGTTTGCAAGAATTGGTGCAGCAATTGTCGGATTTGGGCGAGAAGATATCCGACAAGATTTAATAAGATATCCGTAAGATTTTCGTCGATTCGTGTTATTTTGGCATTAGCAGCTAATCGCGGAATGAAGACTGTGCAATTTGATGTGAAAACTTCTTTTCTGTATGATGATTTAAAAGAAAACGTGTATATGAAGCAGCCAGTAGGATATGAGGACGGAACCAGAAAGGTGTGCAAACTAATCAATAGTCTGACGGGCTTAAGCAGGCGTCACGGACGAGAAATTTACAAGTTTCGTTAAAAGATTCAATTTCGAGGCCTACAAGGTCGATCCCTGCGTTTTCGTCCGAAGAGAAGGTGACAATCTTTCAGTTCTAGCCATTTACATCGATGATGGTTTGATAACTTCAACAAGTGAAGAGAGCGTCAAACCAGTTGTTGATTTCTTATGTAATCAATTTGAAATAAAAATCAGCGAAGTAAAATACTACTTGGGCTTTGAAATCAATCGTCATTCAAATGGATCAATTCATTTAAGTTCGTACTTATGCACTGAAAGTGGTAAATTGAGTTTGTCTTCAAGACTCAAATGCTGTTTCGACACCAGCCGATAGCTCACACCGTTTAGAAGTTTCAAGTTCAACAACGTCAATTAAGTTTCCATATCGAGAGGCCGTAGGGTGCTTGATGTACTTAAGTATTGGAACAAGCCCGGACATTACATACGCTGTTTCATTAGTCAGCCGTTTTCTGGAGAACCCGTCGTATGAGCATGTTTCAGCCGTGAAGCGAATTATTAGATACATCAAAGGAACGATTGACTACGGTATACTTTTTGAAAAATCTAACGAGTTTAGTTTATCTGCTTTCAGTGACTCAGATTTTGCCATGGATCTAGCAAAGAGAAAGTCGACCTCGGGTCAATGTTTTGTGCTGGGCCAAGGAATTATTAGTTGGAACTCTGAGTTACAAAAATGTGTTGCGCAATCCACGGCAGAGGCAGAGTACATAGCGGCATCCGAAGCAACACGCGAACTAGTATGGCTGACGAGACTCATCAAAGTGATAGATGAAACACTCTACATTCGCTATAAGTTTTAAAGAAATAAAATAAAAGTACAGTCGATCAGTTCAGAAAATCAGTTGGCCGATATTTTCACAAAGGCCTTACCAAAAATTCGTTTTGAGAATTTAAGAAACAAATTAAATATTGTAAAGTTAAAGTAGAGTTTTTTGTTTAGTTTCCAAACACATTTTTTGTGAGATGAGAGTATTAATAGTAAAGCAATGCCATGTCATATAGGGTATATATGCTATAAACGGTACTATGTATTCGCATTACTGAAGTATGAATTTTAATAAACCAGAACAGTTAGTTCACTATTTTGTCTCAAGCAGAGCACTCGTGTTTTACTTTTTAGTCTTGTTTTCTTAGCTTTCGTGTGTGCTCGCAACACTAAGACAGTAGTCTTTCGTAAAAGAAATGAAAGACAGAAGGCAAGATAGTTCAAAAGACCTGGCCTGCATAATTGGTTAGGTATGTATGTATATGTATGTATGCAGATATTTAAATGCCGGTTTGCTATTCGCGCGACAAGCTTTTTTAAAAACGAAGTAAATTAGTACAAATTGTTAGTAATTTTCATTAGAGTTTGAATAACTCCTTTCACTGAATGCCTTTTAGTAACTTTAACGAGACCTTAACTTATTTTATTTTATTCATTTTAGTGCAGTTTTGACAAAATTTTCTTGCTAAAAAATCTTTTGTTACACTACTTCATTTTATTCCTTTGATTGTACAGGTTAAATAAAAGCTTGTTTTTAAAAAATATTTTTTTTTACATTATTTTATTTTATAATTTTTAGTCCATTTATAAAAGCGTTGTATATTAAAAAGTGTTATTTTATTTTATGTATAAAATTTTGCAATAGATATTAAAATAATTCAACCTGCAATGAAAGAGAACAGAAGACTTGGCAAAATGTTGTTTGCTTATGTTTTGTATAAACATACATATGTACATATAGCAGCCGTTAATTTTATTTAAAGAAATGGCGTGTCGTCCATTTCCGCTGTAGCATGGCATATATTCAGGCGCAATATTTAACTTCTTCTGGCGGGGCGACGTCAGCAGTCTTCTAATTGTATCTCCTTGATATGATGCCTACAACGTGGTTCATATCTAGACTAGGAATAGCTTTGCTACACTACCGCTGCGGCGCGCCGGCAGGTTTAACAATTTTATAGTGGTTTTACGTTCTTTGGCAAATTACGCTCTGTTAGCCATAAATCTTACCATTTTTTGACCGCCTTTGAATCAAGACCCCTGGACCATATGGGGAATTCATTTACATTTTAAATTGCACTGTCATCGTGATTGGAACTATGCTGAAAATTTCAAGTCTCTAACTTGTCGGGAAGTCAGTTTAAAACCGATTGGAAATTTCCGCGATTTGCGCGGGATGACCAAGTTAAATAAAAGCTTATAAAAAAAAACTTATAAGGCGAACAGCATAACGCTAAGACCTCCTCGTTAGCAGATCTTTCAATTAGTCTTTCGAAAGACAGTAAAGAGCTCTTAAGACAGGTGCCAGAATCGCCCTGTTAAACATCCTAAGGATGGTCATAGGCTAAAAATAATTTAGATATATCAAAGGGGCGTAGCACCGCCTATACAAGTAGACATTTTCATAATGCCTACATATCTCGGAAAGTATTTGTTAGAGTGCACTGAAATTTGGATGGTTGAAATTAATTCAGTACACATGGAAAAAAGTGGTCGTTATTGAAAAAGAGGGGGTGGCACATCATATATAAGTAGGTATATTCAATTTATCTCTGGAAGTATTTGTAATAGAGTACTGGAACTTGGTATCAAGTAATACAAAACCGATTCCACATTCGAGGAGAATTATGAGAGTTATAGGAAAAGGGAGAGAGTGGCAGCCCTATACAAACTGAATTTTTTATACTGTGTATCTCTGGCGCGTCGATGTCCATTCGAACGACATAGCTAAGCCAGCGGAGCCTCTGTATTTTGATTCTCTGCACTATGGTCATTCCGTTGTAAAACTCATCGTTCCTTCGTCTGCGGTACTCGTTGTTGTATTGTCGAAAATGGCTTTGAAGTCGCGTATTGTGAATACCTGGTTTATGGTGGATTTACCAGGTCTGAAGCCACACTGATAAGGCCCAAACAGTTCGTTGATGTTGGGCTTCAGACTTTTACACAATACTTTCGATAAGGCCTTGTAGCCTATGCTTAGAAGACTGATCCCGCATATTTCGGCCTCTCTCTTCTTGTTCCGGTAAATACGTCTCGCTTCCCTATAAGGATTCCACACATCGCGTCTTAACCTTTATCTTCGTCTTCAGCTCCCCCAACATCTTCTCATTATTCTTACATCTTCTCTTATCTTCACCTTCATCTTCACATTTGCCTTTATATTCACCTTCCCTATCATCTTAATCTTTATCTCGTATATTTACCATCATCTTCCCCATTTAACCCAAACATCTCCGAACTCGATTAAGAAGTTTCACTAAAAAAAAAATCAATAAGCTAATCATAGCCCTTGAAAAAGTAGGATATTATTTATGTAAATCGGTATTATGCTACAGCAATCATT